CAGCTATGTTGAAGAAGAATTTTGGGTATTACCGAGAGATAACAATTGGGAGCCTGTACTACCAGATGTCTTAGGCCGAGCAGAGTCTGTGATGGACGCATCGTTGCCATTAGCTGATCCAGAGTATTGGAAGCCCGGAAAAGTACAGGTAGTTCTGAACGTTAAGGTGTTTGCAAAGATTCTTATTGCGGTACTGCCCAGCAAGCATGAGGGGACGACACTGCTCGAAACTTGTTTCGGTGTGGTTGTCTGTGGTGCCCAGGGGCACCGGTTTGTAAAGAGATAGGCGCAGAAGTTTCATATATACACTGTACTAGCGTTGAAGAGCTTGGAGATTTGGTAAAGAGATTCTGGAAGCTGGATGAGATCGGTAGTTGTCCCATGCGAACGGAAGAAGAAGAGAAGGTTGAACAATTATTTTTAAACACGTATTCAAGAGATGGCACCGGAAGATTTACAGTTTTAATACCATTAAAGGCAGACATCTGCGACATCGGAAGCTCCAGGCTGGTTGCACTACGTCGTTTCCTGTCACTAGAAAAAAGATTAAATCAGGATCCTGCGTTAAAAAAGCAGTATGTCGCCTTCATGAGGGAGTACGAGCAGTTAGGACATATGGAGCAAGTGTCTGGAGCAGTTACAATAGGTGGAATGGTGTATTACATTCCTCATCACTGCGTTACTAAGTTGTATTTGATGCTAGCTGCCGTACAGACAAAGGAGTTTCCCTTAACGAAGTGCAGATGCTTGGTGAAAAACTACAACGAGACTTGGCAGAAATAGTTATGCGATTCCGAAGGCATAAAGTTGCGGTCATTGGGGACATTAAAATGATGTTCCAACAAGTTCTAGTAAGCAGAGATCAGTGGGACTTACAACGGATTTTCTGGAGGGAAAGAGACTGTGATCCTTTAAGAGAATACTGGTTGAAAGTAGTTACTTACGGGATGACTTCTTCAGCTTTTAATGCAGTACGGGCGGTGGTACAGTGTGCACGAGATGCTAGTATGGAATTTCCAGAGGCCTCTCAACTCATCGAAGGTGACCTATATATGTATGATTGTATAACTGTGCGGGAAGTGAAAGTCAAGCGATAAAGATGGCGAAAGAAGTCCAGCATGTACTAGCAAGCGTAGGCATTGAAATGAAGAAGTGGAAGTCGAACTCCAAGAGATTGATCAAAGAAATGCTATCAGAGAATGAAGAGGAGAGTATGTTCGTAGACGAAGAGAAGGCATCAGTGCTAGGGCTGAAGTGGAATATAACTCGAGACATGTTTTCGTTTGTGGTAAAGACCCCAGAGATTGAAGGAGTGGTTACTAAGAGGAAGATTCTAGGTTGTGTGGCGCAACTTTACGATCCAAACGGATTTATCTCTCCAGTTACAATTCTGGGGAAGATTATCATACAGGATCTATGGCGTATCGGAGTAGAATGGGATGTACCAGTACCCAAAGAGATGGAAGACAGATTCCGTATATACTGGGAAGAGATAAAATACCTTGAAGAGTTTACGTTAGAGAGATGGATTGGCACGGGTGGTGGTGGAAAGGTTGAATTGCACGGGTTCTCAGATGCGTCAACGGTAGCATATGGTGCGGCGATTTATGTGCGTGTTGAGAACGGCGGCATGGAGGTAAAGAGCACACTACTAGTATCTAAGTCACGTGTCGCACCGATGAAAACTGTTTCGGTGCCAAGGCTAGAGTTGGCAGCTGCGGAGCTTCTGTCCCGCTTACTGGTCGATGTAACGAGGGCGATGGAACTTTCGGGGGTGGGTTACACGTTGTGGACGGACTCACAGGAAGTGCTTCACTGGATTGGTAAAATACCGCGATGTTTGAAAACTTTTGTTGNAAGTGAACTTATCTATTTTAAACTATAGTTAAATCGTTAAAAGATAATTTAACAGCCCCAATACTTTTACACTATGTATTTATACATACAATACATATATGTATATATATCAGTCTTTCTTTGTTTAAAAATTCATCTCTTACATAAATGCAAAAAAGAAACAAATTAAGCATATACAACTTTTTCATGCCAAGTATGGTTAAATTCTAAAATGGGCTAAAAAAAGGGCTAGGGGCGATTTTAAATTAAATGTGGCCAAAAAAGTATGTGGTAGCTAAATCTAGCCACCAAAGGGCTAAAACGGCAACACTGCTTGAGCAGAGAGAGACTGCCGTTAAATTTGCATTTATATAAAGTTATATAAAGCTGTGGAGTAAACAGCTGTGGAGTTTATGGTAGTTGGCTACCGTCCACAAATATATATATGCACTCTGCATGGCTTTTTACAATGGCGAGTCCAANAAGGAAGAAGAGGGGAGAACATATAAGCATGTCACCGACTATTGAGCAAAGAACAAAGGCCATGTGGTTTCTACTGAATCAGGAACAAAAGANTATGTTGTATATTTATTGAATCCTGCTAAATTGGGCCATGTAACTTTAAAATTAACACATTTTTCTGCGTTGTTTACATATTTTTCTATGCGTCTTGGCATTTCTCTCTCGCAATTGCACCAAGATGACGTCACGCAAAAATTACGCTCAAAAATCCTCTCATTGGCGCAATCTTGTATTCTATCATTCTTGGGAAAGTACTAAAGTAGGTTTAATCAGCAGCTTGTGTGATTTATTTAGCTCTTAAGTTTGACAAACCACTTGAGTCGACCGGCATGCCTTTTTAATCCTCAGTAAATATAATAATAATATAATGGATTGGCGCTTACACATATGTTAGTGTTTGGCCGAGCTTCTCCTCCAACTTGTTGGCGTGTGATGTTGTCACACAAAGCGGAGGGACCTACAGTTTTACGCCGACTCCGAACGGCGATTGTATTTTTATGAGAAGCTGTTTTTCATGGCAGAAATACACTCGGAGGTTTGCCATTGCCTGCCGAGGGACGACCGCTGTTAAGAAAAAACCTTTTTCTATATTTTTTGGGATGTTGCTTTGACCAGGGCTTGAACCCAGGTGCTGATGTGTGAAAGCGCGCACTGCTTACCACTACACCACAGCGGCCTCAGTAAATATACAAGATGGAAATAACACAATTTGGTGAGTTGACAGGCAGGTCCAATATGCTATTCAATCGGGAGTAGAGTTTTCAACAGCGATATTTCCGATATCGATATTGTTCAGCCCGATATATCGCCATATCGATTTTACATGCAATCAATTAGTTCGTTCCATAATATCGATTCTTTCTTAAATATCGAAAATACCTGGTTTATACAGCCTTATTATGTATCTCGAAGCGAACGTTCGTTTCGTCTGCCAGACGTTTCGTTCGTGCGTTGGTAGTATGTAAGTCGAAATCGTCTGGCAGCGCGAAAACAGCTGATCGTTACGTAGTTGTTCGTCTAGTTTGGAATTTTTTAACGCGAATAGGAGACGAAAGTGAGACGACAATCGTTGAAAACAGACGAAAGGTTATTAGTGATCGTTAAGATGGAGGGTTCTGCCAGAAAAAGTAAGAAGATAAAAAAATATAACTTGATTTAAGAAAATATATTAATATTTATGCTTGCAGCGTTGAAAAAAACTACAACCACACAATTTGAGGTATTAGTTAAAGAAATGGAGAGAAATCCTGACCTGGCCAGAGGTGTTGCAGTGTTTGGTTCTGATCGAGGAAGGGTAGAGGAGCGGTGGGAGGAAATTATGAGGAAAATTAATTCTCATGGTCCACCTACAAGAACGGCCGTCGAATGGAAGAAAGTAAGCATATGTACATACATTGTATGTCGTAGATAAATGTTTTCACACTATTTCCATTTTACTGACATTGAATTCTATTTTTTTTTCAAAATATGGGCTGACTTGAAAAGCCGGACAAAAAAAGATTGCCGAAAATACACGGAGCCTTACTGTTACCGGTGGTGGCCCATTCCGCCACTCTCCGCTTTCCGAAATGGAGCAGACCATAGACAGCCTTGTTTTTATTTCAAGGTCAGCGGCACCGAGCGGCAGAGTTTTCGGCATTCCTTCGACGGCGACTTCAAACGC